CCTCGTCTGAAAGCTCCCCTCCAGACATTGTTTTCACAGCCGACACGGCCGTGTTTCTGAGTTTACATTCAAGGCTGGTTGTACAGACAAATGGTGTAAAGTTCAACAATGTCCAGCTCAACGTGCTCCAGTAAGAGAACACAGGAGAGGATATTTCAACCTGGAGAAAACCCACACAGAGAGAACCAAGGCAAACCAGGAACCTTCTTGCTACGAGGGGACCACTGTTCCAAAGCCTACAAGAATCTAGCATAGGCTGCAAATTCTTTATTTTACGTAGCACTGGGTCATGCAGTAATAAAAATCTTATCGCTTGTTCCCTAAAACAGCAACAGTCAGCCCTGCCACTGAGCACAAGATCAATTTCTCAGCTCTAAAGACACTAAAGAGAGCGCTGTGATACTAACATTCAAACAACTTAGAGCAGTGTTGTTAATAATTTGGGATTTTATGGAGTACTTCCGTATGTGTTGTGGAGCGAAGGGCATGCAGGATGCAAAGTGATGCAGTGGAATTTATGAGGTGGCTGTATTTATGGGACAAGCTGCACAGGCTTACCAGAAAAATAGAGCGTAACTCTCTGCCCTCACTACTCTCTCTGCACCATCTAGATATGGCTCCACGAGTAAGCATGTAATCATGGTGACACTTGGTATGCCACATAAATAAATATATATAACGGTGCAATAACTCTTGTCAAAGGCATTGATTTTGTTGGGAGAGAAAACTTTCTCACGTGCTGCATCTATCGCCTCGAATGTGGTCGAGCGTCCTCCAGCTCCCTCAGCAGGTTTCACAGAGTGAACGTCCCACCTGCTTTATAGCCTCCAGAACAAGCAGGTCAAAAGGAATGCGCATGACGACTTCAGCCACTTAACACCTGTGATGCAAACGAGGTAGTAACCTGAGCGCCAATGCGCGCTGCTGCAGTAAGGCACCGTGCATCAGCGTGGGGAGGAATCCCGGCTTCAGGGGTGATGGAGCTCAAATGGAGGAAAGTAGAGGAGAGAGTGCTGTCTAGACTGTTTTATAATGAATGAAGAGGATTCAATGTTCTAGCGGGCGACTTTAATGTGATGTAACGTCTGCATGAACTCAAGTTGGAAATTCTGTGAGAGAAAAAGGGGTCACACTACCCGACACTATCAACAACACGGAATTGTACCCTGGTTACGAGTGAGCAAAACTCGGTGCGGTAATGATCGGTATCTAGGTCCCATCGATACAAACCCTGGACCAACCGTTTCAACCCATTTTCAGAGCATCAACTAATTAAAACCTGGATGTCTGTAGGTTTTTGAATCTATTATTTAATCCTGTTGAGTGGATCGAAATTGCACGTCATAAAAAGTTTCCTCCGCTTCCTGTGCCTCCACATTACTTTTGTACTTTTTCCTGAGCACTGCTACAAAACTGAGCAGAAAACTCTGTCTCTTCCCATTATAATGATAAATATTGTGCGTCCTCTGAGCTTGTGCACTCACATAAATAACACACAGCTGCTTAGACAGATAGTATTCACATATTTGGCTGCGGCTTCGACACAACATGAAAAAAATATGCGATTCCATAAACTAGTGTTGAAAAATACACCAGTTTGAGGAAGTGATACAACTGTTGATACAACTCAGTCTAAAGTAAAAACAAAGACACTGGGGAAGTCAAACCGGTTCATTGTTTTTCCACAGTCCAGTTGGGCGTGTGTATAAAGTGGGATGTGTCTGTTTTCCAGCTGCAACGATCGGACCCACCTCGACTTCCCGTCACCAAGCGACAAAAAGTCAGAGTGACAACTGTGAGTGAGACCTTTGTCTTAGCGACGAAACCAGAGGGACGTGTGTGTAATTGTGCCGTGTTATCCATTAGCGAGGGGGGAAAAGGTTAGTGCTGTCTAAGAGCTGAGCGTTTTATTCGTGTTAAAACTTTTTCAGGTTTACAGTGAAAAAGAAGTCCTGGTGACAAACCTGTGAGTCAAAACAACGCATCCACTGTCACGACAACAACGACTCAGACAGGTTTGAGTCCAACGCCCTGTCCACACGAAAGCAGATATTTTGCAAACCAGACTTTTTCTGGTCCTCACGCGAACATGTTTTAAGTCACTAAAATACAGTTTTAGAAACTCCTCATGTGAATATTTCAGCGTTTGGGAAACAATGACGTCACAGTTTACTTCTCACATGCCGACTATTGCTTTGTGTAATGAACACGCCCCAGAAACAACAACAACAATAACAACAACAACAACAACAATGGCGACTATATAATTATTTCTTTATGTTCAGTGAGCACCGCTCGGTCTAATTACAAGTTTGCAGTTAAATTTAGCGTCACTGCAGCACATTACCGACAATCAGATGGCCTCTGCCTCGCCCAACATTATTTAGACCACAATGTTCTGCTCTGGTGTTTGACGGATCACTGATGTGCACTTAATGTCCACGTACTTGCGTATGAATGAACAAGTGTATGTTGTTATTTTTGTGTTCTGGTCTGGATAGAGATATTTTGTAAAACGAAGGTTGTGTGGATGGAGATTTGAGGGGAACATATATATGCACCAGTGTAAACAACCCCTGATCCTTTGCGCAGATCGTTGAGATCTGTCTGAGGGTCTGTGTGCATCTGACCATTGTTTGTGTTCGTTTACGTATCGATCGTCATCAGCAATCGATCCGGCCGAGCGTCTGCGGCAGGCGCTGCGTTTGTCTGTCTCTGCTGAGGTCAGCAGGAAGTTCCCACAGGCCCGCAGAGTACAAACACAGCTGTGTGTGTCTGTGGAGGTGGAGCAAAAAGCAAGGGCACCGAGGTCACTGCTTAAATTGACATGGGGGAGTGAGGGGGTAAAGTGTGGGGGTTTTGGAACCTGAAAGAAACTGTTGTGTAGGAAAAGAAAATTGAGTTGGAGGCTTGGTGTGCGGAGCTGGACGTAAACAAAAGGGCTGGGCCGTGTTTGGGGTCCAGTATCAGATAAGACTGGGGGAGTGGTCTGCAAATCCAGATAAAATAAGACCATACAAATAACAGTAGAGGCTCCGCCCTAATCCAGGAGCTTCATACTTTATCTTAAGGCCTGGGGGGGGGCATGAAGGCCTTTAAAGGGATAATGTTGAAAATACAAACTCCTGGAAGAGACGACAGTAATTTCAGACTGCGTGATAACAATATTATAGTTTCTTTGCGTGTCACACGGGTCCAGTTGGGTCAAGATAAATGGGCACAGTGACATCATCCCTTTATGTTTAAACTTTCTTTAGCAAGGTTTACGGCACAAACGCAGGGAGCTAAGCTGCTGCTTGTTTTGCAGCAAACAGAAGCAACTTGGTCAAGGCGGGTGAAAGGTCAGAGTTCAGGCAACTGGGAACAGGAGAGCTGAGCTGCTCAGCCTCTTTGAGAGGAGAGCAGCTTTGTTTAGAGGACAGATTTATTTTGAGAAGCAGGCAGAAGGGAAAGAAAGAAAGAAAAAAAAAAAAGCTCTTTTTATCCACAACAAAAACATCACCCTCCTCTTCTGTTTCGTGAGAGCGAGTTACCCTCGCAGTCCCGAGGCCGCGGGCTCCCACAAGATGTCTCATCATCAGAGGGTTAAGTGATGGGAAATATTCTGCGCTGATACATAATGCATCATATAGCGTGTCTTATATAAGACGAGCTGGAGACGGTTCACTCCTACACCCCGTCTTTTTCAACGCACAGAGAGGACTCTGCCTACACGAACGCCGACCGACATCAACGCACGCACAAGCACATATACATCCTCTCACTGCACACGGACAGGACGCTGCAGCAGCTGCAGAACACATGCCCTCACTTACGTAAACACAAGGGGACGGTCAGAGGGACATCACATGTGGAGATCAGATGAGATCTGAGGGGGAGCACCGCAGCGTTTCTTTTTTTAGTTTTTGCAGAGAATAAGGAAGAGCTCTGCGGTGAGGGGAACTCTAAAGGCCAGAGGGACAAAGCATGAGGGGTCACGTGCTACCAACAGTTCCCTGTGAGACTGTGTGTTTATTTTATTTTTAAGGGAGTAGAGATCCACAGATGAAAGTACACATCAGACATGTTGGATTACTGTAGTCTTGAGACTAAGGTATCGATATATTTTGACTTTCCCATAACATAATGCAAGGTTTGAAATCCCCCTGGAGGACAACAGCGGGGTCGTCCTCATTAATAAACATAGTATTGATTATATATCAGGATTGAAATGAAAAAAATACTAATGGTCCTTCATTTTTCTCGCAGGAACAGCCTGAGGCCCCCGAGCTGAGAGGACGCCCCAACGACTACGCCAACCCACAGCCACGTGAGAATCCCCTTAAATTGGGTGATGCTCCGAAATCCTCATAACAAGATAGTTCACCATGATTGAAATTTCCATAGACGATCATTGAATCTGGACTCCCTCGAGAGCGCCCCCTACACAACATGGACATTTCAAACACAAACACTATCTGTCATGATGTTCTCAGCATGTGTCCCTGATCATTATTCTCATGTCCGACATATAAATTAAACAGTCTGACATTAACTGTTCACTTCATTTGAACCTGATTCCTTTTGTTAAACGTGTCTAAACACTTGTGCTGATTCTTTCATTCATGGGTTGATGTTTTATTCTGCTGATATTTTCATAATAATTAAAAACACATTGATGATAAGGAAACACACGCCTGGTTTATATTGAATGTTCGATATAACTGAGGCACAACACAACATACACAACATAGACTGAGATCACAAACCTCAGGCCACACAGTCTGGAATAAATGAGGCAATGGCGCCCCCTGCCTCTCAATTTAAAGACATCAGTTATTATTTTCCAGCTCATGTTTTTTAAAATTTAACTTGTATAGCACAGAAAGTATATATTTTAGATAAAGACAATCTCAGTTGAGTTTTCATTGTTTTGAGGTCTCCGCAAAAACCTATATATCAGCTCAAATGCTTAGAAATAAATAAAAAGAATCTTTGTTAACACTAATAACAAACACACATATTAATAACAATATCATTTATTTTAAGAAATTATATTATTATTACAATGTTCATTAAATGAGGATCTGTCAAACCTGGACCCTCCTCTAAAGAAATATTTACAAATTTCACAGTGAATTTGGTGCATTTGGTTATAATATCATAACGAGAGGACGCCCCACCACCCATTCCCCCGCTCCCCCACAAAATACACATGTATAACGATAATGGGCTATCACATCCATCACGATTAACAGCAGTGCAATTACGCAACATGCTATGATGCTCAGTCTGTGGACGTTATAAATACAAAGTCTGATTGAATACAAAAATTCAAAAGGTCTGTCTAATCAGTGCTCTCTACCTAATATAGTTTAAATTACAGCGCCCCCCCACGGGACTTTAAGTAATGGTTTCCTAGCACGAGGAGAAGTGCAAGAAGGTCAGAGGTCAGGACTATGGAGGGATGTTAAACTGCGAGGCGAAATCTGAATAAAACTTTTCATGGGCGAGGGGTGTTAAAACGAGCTCTCAGCCCCGAGACGTGTAAGCAGCTAAAAACAGTCTGGTGAGGACAGGAATGTCTGGAGGTGTGCAGGACAGAGGGCAACGTGAAATGCGGGGGTCCATCAGTCTGCTCTCTGTGGTATGCATCCTTCCATCTCCAGCACCTCAGGCCAGCCCTCAAATTTGTTGGTGTTTGCATTGTTCTTTATATGCTGAGGAGGGAAACACAACACACACTCACACTGTTGTTTTTGTTGGACACCAGATCACCTGCATTGTCTTTATAATCCAACGGATCGGATGTCCTGGTCACACAAACCCCTGGGCAGGGTGTGACGTTCTTGTGAAACGGACAGGTGAATGGGGGTTCTTACAAACAAGAGGTTTCTGTATTGTTCTGATAATAGACTATAAAAAAAAGATGTACAACATGTCTCCAGTTCCTACCGACACTAAATACGGGTGCGGGACGTCATGTGAAACTTTGATTGTGGAATCATGAGTCAGTCTCTGCTTGGACAAACATCAGTGCGATAACAACGACTACTAAACCATCTTTAAGAAAACACGTATTGTTTGTGTACTTTGACTTTTTAGTGTGGTACATGTCCCGTCCATTGACATGGAGGAGGCAGGGTTTATGGCCTAAACTTCAGCCCGCCACCAGGGGGCAATCGAGATGATTTGGCTTCATTTTCCAGAGCTGTCACGTCATCAATCTTTATTTATTACTTCTGCCAAAGAGGTTATGATCGCGTGTCTTTATTAAACATTGCGAGATCGAGCAGTTTCAACATTTTCCTTGGTTTTTCAGAATAAATCCAGTTCTTTAAATGTGGCTTCATAAGGGGATTGTTAGGCCTTGACAGAGGTATGTGCTTACTGAGTGATCTAGTTTATAATTAGTTAAATGTATTAAGCAACCAAAAGTTATTAATCAATAAACGTGTGTGTGTGTTTGTGTGTGTGTGAGGTGATAAAAAATAAATACTGATAACAGAGGGGAACAGTGAATTTAAAGAACGATTTATGTTCCTGTTGCTTGCCCAGGCTTGAGTTCATATTGTTTCAACAAAAACACACCCGAGGAAATGTTAATGTTTATTCTTAAGACTGGCACAAAGTCCAGTGTACATATTGCCCCTGAAACCATGACAAAGTTTGATGTGTAGCGCTCAAGGTTATAAAGATATAAGTTAAACGCTCTTTAAATTACCATATGCACAACGCAGATCTAACTAGAGCAGATAAAAATACTTTATATGGTTTGAGGACGATTGAGATAAGAATTTCAACTCATGTGAGGCCGGACGACTTGTTCCCTTCACACGTCCTGAGCGTCTGTTTGTATGGAGGATTACGCAAAAACTACAGAACCGATTTTCTTGAAATGTAAGAAAGTGTGTGATATGAGTGGATTCCATTAAGGTGGAGAGTCATGGATCTCAATAAAACACTATCAGGGATATTTAGGGGAGTGGTATCTGAGTGTGTGGACTTTGGTCCAGTTTGATTAAATCTAAGAGAGGTGTTGCTTCTTGGAGGAAGTATGCGCTCTGCTGAATATCATTCTAGTTTCCTGGGTGGTGTTACCTGCTCAAACGGACTCTTGGTTTTGATGCCTTTCCCTCCTACAAAGATCCAGTTATCGCGGAAGCCCACGTTATCAATGTCCGAGCTGCCCAGATCAGCAACTAGTTTCCTGGCTTCAACATTAAGTCTACACAACAAAGAAGACAATTATTTCACAGCCGCACGATCAATATGAAGAGATGACGAAGACAATTTGAAATTGATCACGTGAAACGTACTTGGTTGAGGTGTCATCAAATGACGCCATCATCACGATTGTCCCGTCTTCAATTTCATTCAGGAATTTAATTAAGGGAGCCACATCTACACAAGGTTACACACAGTTAACACACCATGTTTTTAAATGACAAAAAAATTTGACCTCTGAATTATACTCACCTCCTGCCCACATATCAAAATTTGCTGTCTTGATTCCCTCCCCCGTTTTCCCTGTGAAGGAAGAACACTCCATTTGAATTTAAATCCCATGCAGCAGACGTGAACTCCAGAGAATATCTGAAGACAAATTCACAACAACAGGAAAATGTCCGGAACTTTCAGGCAACTGTTGACGTCATGGTAGAGCGAGCAGTTACCAGGACATGACGTATAAATTCTGCTTTGGAAATCACGTGTTCATCTCATGCCTTTCCAAGTGGACATCTTCATCGCTGTAGCTTCAAAAGCTAATGATGAACATCCCCATACACATTGGGTCAACATTCTTGGCAGTGACTCACTGCTATTCAGTAAACGACCCCCTCTCTGCTCAGTGTACAGTACGCAGCGCCTCTGCTGTGACGGCAGTAAAACATCACTGCCAGTCACTGCTATATTTGCAAAGCTTACTGACTTTGAGGGTGTGAAACGGATAAGGTTACCATTAACCAGGGCGATGTTGAGTCCTCTCCCCACATTGTTCTTCACGCCGCTCATCAGTCTGCAACAAGGAGCAGAGGGACAGTAAGACCAGAGACTTCCAGTCAAGGACCAGAGAAGACGACGTTTTAGAGTCGCGTTATGCAAAACTTTATTCAACAAAAACTAAAAAGAAAATGAATTACAACATAGTGAAACACAGTTGTAATATAAAAACTACCTTCATTTTCACACATATATAATATTTTACAGCTTAGTGACAGCAGTATAAAACGAGTGTGACAAATGTTTACTGACACTGAGACTCGAGGTTAAGTATTACAGTGGTGACAGACTTCTTTATCTCATCACCTTTATCAAACATTACAGGATGTCTTTCAATACGATAAGTGAGAAATGTTGAAACGTGTCATAAACCCTCAGCTATGAGAGCAGCTATTGTGGTTATCACTTTATTCTTTTTTGGTGTGGTGCTGCCGGCAGAGGGTAGCTTATGATTAAACTGTTCTTTTGTTTAAAAACAGTTCACAACCCAGATGTCTTTTGTATAAAAGGAGAAAGATGTAAATCTTCAATTTTCAGCTGTGGACAGTTCATTTTTTACATTTTTACTTGATTCATTATTGGTAAATTATTGAAATAAACCTATTTCCTGTGAAGTCTGATCATTATCAATTAGTACTTTTCCATCTCTTTGTGTTTGAGCAGCTTCAGTATCATGAATCTTTCTGCTGAAAGCTACTATTCTCTCTCTAATAATGAATATGGAATCCATGCACTTAAAATAAGCTAAGCTGTTTGTGAGTTCAGATTCTGAGGCTTCCAAGTTGAACTAAGCACCAGGCAGTCTTCAGCGAACTATCCCCACACCTCAGCAGACAGTACAAACATGTTTGTCTGGTAACACTGGCTTGCCCAATTCCTGTATCCCCACATGTCTAAACCGTGTAACAATTAAAGGTCTTTATGTTTCTGCAGGTTTTAAATCCCACTTCACTCACATTTTGTCCTCCAGGCACATTCTGGGCCCGACCACGCTGGCCGCTCCGCTCGTCATCTTGAAGGCAAAGTGTTCGGCTGGACACGACTTGGAAAGGCTGCACTTGTACCTGACTGCACCCGGCTTTGTTGCTGTGGAGAGAAAACTCCATTTACACGTCAACTAAGTGTTCGCACAATATCAGGTAACAGGTAGACCGATCACATAAGGCCGGTCCCAAAGAACACAGAACAAAGAACGCTGGCACAGCTTGTCTCTACCGAAGGGGATTTATTTGCAGCCTAAATGCCGAGAGCTAAACTCAACACACACCTTCAGCTGTGTAGTGACTTTACCTGTGTGCTCTTTATTACCAGTCAGAGATTTATAAAACAAAAATAAAAGAAGGAAGGTTAATTAAAAGAGATCAGTTACTGTGAAAAAAAAGAAATGTGAAAATATTAATAATAATTTGAGTGTACTTACAGACTTCAGTCACAGGCTGAGATCTTGCTGAAAAGCAAAAATGACATTTAAAGGTTCAGTGTGTAGAATTCAGTGACAGGTACATGTTGCAGCTGAACAGCCCCTCACCCAACCTCCCCTCCCAAACGTGTAAGAGAGCCTGTGGTAGCTTCAGTTAGCTTCTCTGTAGAGAGGACACACTCCTGAGGTAAATTTAAAGTGTTCAAATATAAATTCCTGGGTAAAGAAAACAATTTGTACAATTGAGATGAAAACACACTAGTTGAAATATCAATAGGATTATTAAAATATTCTATTTCTGCCAGTAGATCCCTTTAACCTAAATCTTACACACTGGACCTTTAAGAAGAGTTTCAGAACTGTTTCTTTAAAGGAAGCTCTGAGGGAGACGTTCCTTCTCTAAGCAAATAAGATTAGGCTTTGATAAAGAAACCAATGAGCACACAGATTCCATTTCTGCTTGGAAAAACCAACTGACCGAGTCTGATTCTACAGAAGTGTATATTGGCAGTGTGTGTGTGTTTGTGTGCGTGAGCAGGAAAGAAAGAGCAGAGTCTTTAAGCTTCCTGCGGCATTAATATTAAACAGGATTTAATTCAATCACTCCATATTAATAAAAATACAAAAAAACAGTCGGTAGATATTGCGGAAGTGGTCGCAAATAAATAAACTCATGTGAAACACTGAGAAATGTAAAAATTACTTTTGAAACTGCAGCCATAGAGAGGACGTCAGCTCTAACGTGCAGCACTGAGTTCACACAGCTAAAAGAATGTGGCCACACGAGTCTCAGACCACCTCAGTGCTTCCTGGGTGCATTCCCATACTGAGAGTTGTGATCAGTTCTCTCAGGACAGATGTTAGTATCAGGTATTAACAGGGTGAAGGTTTCACTTGGTTTAACGGTTGAATACTCAGTTTCCTGAGCAATCTAATCATCTTGGACGTGTTTCTTAGTGTAACTATGCCCTTTGCTGCTGGAACACAGCAAGTTCCCTCTCAGTGGAACATTAAGTGAATCTCTTTGCTGGTCTTATAGATAAACATACCGGCTAAAGTGCGACAACAAGGAGGTGTTATGTTTCGTTCCTCATTGAGGAGTTTGAATGTGAGAGAAGTGAAACTCACACATCATGCTGCCCAGATTAAACTCCATGTTCATCTCAAACAGCTGAAAAGTCAGGAAGACAGCCAAGAGGAAGGCGGAGACGAGCGCCGCTAGCTTCAAAATACCTGCAGAAGACAGAGACACAGTGGAGGGACACAGAGAGGAAGGCTGAGCTGTTGATCGGCGCTGATCGTGATATTTCAAACACCACACAGAGGCTCACTTTTACCACAGCAGGATCACAACTGTCAACGAACATTCACCGTATGGAAAAACTGCTCTTTTCCTCAATCTCAAGCTGCTTTCAGACGTGACCTCTCTGCCTGGTCCCCCGAGTATAAAGTCTGCAGAAAGTCTGGGGAGGGTTGATGAGGTTTATAACACGCAACACCATCATCACCCAGGACCTGAGGCGTGAGCTGACAATCAGCTGCCTCACCAACAGAGCAGAGCAGAGACTGTACTTCCTGCGGCCGGTGAAGAAGTTTAAGCCAAAGCTTATGATGGTCAACTTATCCACTCACTGTGGAGACGGAGGGGCGGGCGAAGTGTTTGAGTCCCCTAAACCAAAGGAGAGTCAGGGGTAAAGAGCGTGATCACAGAGGACACACGTGAAACACGATGTCAGTGACGTCGTTTCCAGACGAATTTGAATGTTTGCGTTTAAAGACACTTGCACGACACCACAGATGTTTCTATGTTTAATACTTCATTTGAATTGGATTTGGCTGCAACTGTGTTTACCCCTGAAACTCCAGAAGTGTTTTGTGGACTCAAACACTTTCACCCACCCCTCCATCCATCCCTCCCTCCATTCATCCATCCATCACTCCATCACAGTGAGGGGACAATTGGGTGAACTAGCTCCTCTTCGTTTCCTCTTGGTTTTGATCTGAAAATACCAACAACCAGAAAGTTGCGGTTCTATTCGGGGACTCACTCACTCACCTCCAGCCCGGACCATCTTCACTCGTGTCCAGCCACAGGTACAACAACCTGCGGGGGGGAGAGGGAGGGAGAGGGAGAGAGAGAGAGAGAGAGAGGGAGGTTGTGAAGTGGTGACGGGTCTCAAACAGCTGGAGGTTAGCTGACGTCACGTGCTAACAGCAGAAATAACATTGCGACGAGCACGAGACTAAAAACATTTCAAACTTTAACGCAGCAAACGGATTCTCTGACCCGAGGAGGCGGCGGCGGAGGAGGAGGCGGCGGCGGAGGACGGGTGGCGGCGACACGCGAAGCTAACCAGCGGGAGCGAGGTGACCGGGTGGTGACCGGGAGTTAGCTCGGATGCTACGCCGAGTCGTAACTTCCTCGCCGCGGGTGGAAACTCTACTTCCCGGTGAGAGAGCGCGTGTTTGCAGCGACGACACCGTTGTTGTTTAACGATGCAAGTGTAAACAACAACAACAACAACAACAACCACCGTGTGCTTGGATTCCGCAGCTCACCGGTTCTCTCGGTAAACACGGCTCCACGAGCGGCTCGCGCTCCGTGTCCGCTCCCACTCCGACTGAGGACGGCAGAGCTGCAGGGAGGGCGAGATGCTCCACTCTGACCGATATACCAGCGACTGACGCTGCGAACCGACAAGCCGGTGACCGACAAGAGGATTCAAATAGTTCAAATAGTTCAAAATGAAATATGTAGTAAGATCTTCGTCACTATGAAATAATCAAATCAATACATTCACTGATTATTTATCTTTTTATATGTTTTCGAAGTCATATTTATTTTCATATTTCATTCAATTTAAATTTTTTTTTTACAAATCTCTGAATTCAATTTAATAAGCAAGTGATAAAGATGGTGTTAAAATACTGAATCGATATGACACTCGTAAAATATAATTAAAATGCTACATTTATTAAAAAAATAACACATATAGTAAATCGTGTTTGTCAAACATCGTCGCAAATATAAAATAATGAAATCACTAGATAATACATTATTTTATTTATTTATGTGCGTCATCCTCTAACTATAGAGAAAGAAGAATCATAGAAAAAGTGCTGCCTATAGGCTAAAACAGTAATCCCATGATCATCACTTCTAAATATAAAAATATCTCAAGAATGAAGTCATTTGTAAATACATGACATCTTCGTGATGGTTATCCTACTGAGATAAAGTGTTTAAATATTTCTATTTCTGATATTTAATGTATTTAATTATTCATGTATGTATTTATTTGTATTATTTTCCCATCTAATAAAACAGCACGGTAAAGTAGTCGCAGCAATTGCACGAGTGAGTATCTTGTTACTAAACTATCTTTGCTTCTGTCCCGCCAACTTCCTGCTCTTTCTTCTTCTCTGCTCCGTTTTATACAGACGGGGCAGGTTCCTGCTTTACCAGCGCCACCTGCTGGACACAAAGCTGTGAAGCCAACTGTGACACAGTCAAAGAGGACGAACACTCAATAACATGCGATCATTTATTTTTCACAAATGCAAATTTTATGGATGGCCATGTTTTGTTTTCACATTTTGGCAGACATAAAAAGGTGGTGCAAAACAGAGTGACATAAAAAAATACTGTACATTATAAAGTAAGCAAAGTAAAGCAATGAAATGAAGTGAGCTCAATATCAATAAATTAATACATTTAACAATGTCATGCTTGTCATTAAAAGTCGCTCCCTGCCAAACATGAGGCGTTAGTCCAACACAATGCAGTCGACAGTCTTTTTCAGCACAGCTGGTTTCCATTGTGGATATCTCCGTTAAATTGTGTCATTGGATAAGATCCTGTCAAGATAAGAGACAAAGGTATAAGTGTGTTTGAGAAGAACCACACAATCTAAAATGGATTTTAATCTGGAAACATCAAGTGATAATGACACTCCACCATCTCTCTCCACATTGCATGTCTGTGAGGCCTTTGTGTGTGTGTGGTTGTGTTTCATGGATTAAAATGTAAAAAATGAGTGTAAAAAGAATTTCCCCTGCAGGGATTAATAAAGAATCTCTTCTCTGCGCTTACATCATCTGAGTCATGTTGGCAGACGGTGCCATTGCTGCTGGTGGCGCTTTCAAGATCAGGAGTAACGCAGTTCTCTTCATCCTGGAGCTGGAGGTTGGAGAAGCGATACACGGGTGTCCTGCAGAGGGAGACAGGAAACCACAACAAAGAAGTGTAGGTACCGCAAGTGTGAGTGTGTGAGTTTGTTTGTGTGTAACTCACCTGGTCCTATAAACCACTCGCTTGACAGTAAGTAGAGCCGAAGCGACAGCCACCAGGACGATGACCCCTGCCCCTGCACACACCAGGATCAACACCAACCTCTCTCGCTGCAAAAACATGCGCCACATGTTAGATTCATAAAAAACTGGAGAGGGCACTGCATCTGAGGCAAACTGCACAACGAATCTACACACCGGTGTGTCGAAGACTGGGCCCGGAGGCTCCAACTTGACAGGTGGGCTGGGGCTGGGTTTAACGCCGCAGGGTCTGATGACTGTTTGCACGGCGAGCTGAGGAGTGAACCCACCCTCGCACTTGTTGCTCGGGACCTTACGATACCTGCGAACAGGAGTGTGTGAGCATGTGTAGAGGAGGAGTGTGTGTTCATTTAATAAAAGGAGGGAACTTTATTACCTGGTCGTCAGCAGCTCATCCTCCTCTCCGCTCAAACAGATCTCCAAAGTTTTATTCGCAGCGTCGCGTTGTCGCACACACTCGGAAGTATTCGGGTGATGGTAGTAGCCGTAGTCACTGTAACAGACAGAGGGTGTGATATTCTCCAAGCTGTCTTAAGCTGCTTTCAGACATGCAGTGAACTCCAGAGAACCTCCGGACATTCTCAGGAAGGGCTCTATGTGAGAAAGCGAGTGAGAGTGTCCGGACTTTCTGCAGTGGCCAAAACACGTCTCCAGACAAGTTTGTTTGATGGATTTTGAAATCTGGGCTCATGGGTGGGGCCACATTCTGAAAATGTTTCTTCCTCCAATCACTGAAAACATGTCTTACCATAAGTAGTCATCTCTGGTGCACAGACAGGGGCTCTGCTTCTTCCTCACTACAAAGCGTTTCCCGTTTCTGCACACAGATTGTTTCTTTAGTCTCCGGTACGTCTCCTTGACCCCCAGGACGCAGCCTCTTCTCTCCGAGGCCCCGCCCCCTGCAGAATGAGCAAGCCACTCTTCATAGTCCTGATCGTTACCTGAGGAAACAGATGACGAGCAATTCTAATAATACGACTGATGGATGCAATTTCTATGATTAATTTCAGCCCCACTCAGGGGAAAGTCAATTTGCAGTTACATCACATGAATTACAGAGAAATGCAGAATTACAACATGAGCAGAAAAGCAAACAGTTTAATAAGAAGTGGTTTCACACTCAGCATGTGTCACAGCAGGTCGGAGCTAAAGTATGCAATAGAAATGAAAAAAAGAGGAAGCAAGTTTCTTAGATTTTGGAAAGTCCCAGGTTTATGTAACAGAGTGAATCTGCTGCCAGGTTCTACCTCCCCCACCCTGATAGATAAGGACACAAATGGAATTTAAACACTTGACTCACACTGTCTGGTAATGAGGCTCTGGAAGTCAATGGTGACGGCCACCCACATGGGCTGGCCGTCGTCCTCGGGCCGGAAGCCCCACACGCTGACATTCATGGCTTTGGTTCCCGGCTCGGATGCCAGGCCTGCGAAGAAGAAGGGCTGCTCCGTGAAGTTGTACGACCTCCAGCACTGGCCCTCGTCCGTGGAGAACCTGGAGACCACGAATAATATAACTGCACCTCTCTCTGCTACTCATTGACAAATAATGCATGACGTTAAAAACGATCAGTACTTGATTGTCTTGACTTGTCCTTCGCGCTGGGCCTCCACGGCCACAATGAGACCCCCAGAGTCCAGTATGCTGTAGTGGTGAGGGCCCCTCAGCGTCCCCCTCCAGTTGTAACCCCCGTCTGAGGAAACAAACACATCCGGATGCTGCGACGATGACAGAGAATCACCCACAGTGCCTGAAGACGAGAGGACAGTTCATCTTTTAATCATCGTCACGTCAGACTTACAAGTCATCACTGAGTCATTTAAAGCAACGCTATGTAACCTTTGCTGAGCAACAGTATCTGAAGGATTAGTGCTTGCCAGGAAGAGAGAATCAATTATTCTCCTGATTCCAAGTCAGTGAAGCAACAAACTAATTTAGAAGCTGCTGTTTTCAGGATACAAAAGCTGCATAGTGTTGCTTTAAAGCTGAGAAATTTGAGTTTTGACTGAATAACAAGAGTTGTGTTAGTTGCAGTTAAATTACCATGAGCGATGACCAGACCAATGGCCGTTGGCTCCGACAGAGCGAGCATGGGAACTATCCGGTTGTTCCGACTGTGTTCTCCGTGAATATGCAGGTTACACTGATGAAACACACGCATACGTATACAAATGTTTTAGTCAGTGATCATTGATTCATTTGAAGCCCACGCACTGCACGTCACCTACTTTCTTAATTTGCTCGCTACAGTCCACGTTCTCAGGTTTGTTGAGTTGTCGCCAAGTCCCTCCTCTGTCGAAGGAAATGACAGATCGTATACGCCCATCTGCAACAAAACACAGCGGGGGAATGCATGGATGAGTGATTTCTTTCCTTTCCAAAACGTAGCATAGTTTATCATTCCCAATAAAATAAAATAAAAAATTATAAATAAATAAACATAAAAGAAAAAACACTTGGGGTGGAGTGTACAGCGCTAAATGAGTCTGATTTGTCAAGTGTTTTATTTACACCTAATCCCTAAACTGTAGCCTGCAGTAATGTTCGAAACTTCTGGGGCATTTTCTGGGAGATTAATATAATCTTATTAAAAGTGGTATACATTATGTCAGCGTCTACTACAGTAAAGCCCATGATGTAATAAACTGTGATTGTCCTTTAAGACTGAACCAAAAAAAATAGCTAGTGTGCAGATGTATGAGCGTAAATCCTGATGACAGAAAGAGATGGACGGCCCACCCTCGTCTAGTTTGTTGGTGAGGTACACTCCTCTCAGTGAGGTGATGTTGGTGAAATCGCTCTTCCTCTGGCCGTCAAACAGGTGGCGCTCCAAGGACTTGGAGAACAAGATGCCGCGGTCGTCCGACGTGTACATGGTCCCAAAGTAGGTGTCTAGAGCAAAAAAGATTTTTATTTGTCATGTTTCTTTTTTTATAGACTTTTAAAATGTCTTAAGTACCCATTTACAGGGCCACAAATCATGAATGAACAAAAGAGTAATTTGTAACATAATAATTATATTAGCTTATAATGCAGCTGACTGACATCATTCAAAGACATTTCTGACAAACCACATGTTATCCTTGTAGAAACAGGATGTGGTTACTCTTTTTAGAGAAACAACATGTTTCCTTTGACCTTTCATCCACTAAGAATGTTTTACTGACATTCCATCAGATTTCTATTCCAGAGTAAACCAACACACTGGCACCAGATGTGAAACAATAAGAGCTGGAGGTGATGCAGCTTCTAAATAAATAATAGTCCTTTGTTGGCAGCGATGTTTCAATGTGAACGCAGTGATAATCAAAATGATGCTAAACCTGAATGTGCAGCACCTGGTGTCAGCAGCTG